CTAGGGACCATAAGTGGTCGGCCACCCTCCCACAGGATTCCTAAGGTGGAGTTTCATCTTTTTGAAGCTTGGTGCAAGTTTCTGAGGACAAATGAAAACAGAGCCAAATCGGGGCATTGCATTGGATTTCAGAAACAAGGCGACCGAGCATGCATCTAGTCTTCTCCCTCCGAGAACCTCCTGCTTTTATTGCTTTCCTTAGCTGCCATGCTTAGATGGCTAGATTTTGCTTTGGTTTGTACTTTAATTAGTTAATGCGTTAGCTATTTCAATTCATTTTGTAATAATTAGTTAACTAGGATTAGTTAATTAATTTGTTGTGTAATAATTAGTTTAATTAGCTTAGATTAGCTAGTTAGCTTGTTATTCGGTCTCTCCCTCGAGAGGGCCAATTGTTGTAATAAGCGTGCGTGTGTGTGATGCATGTCTTCCAACCCCCATTTCTTTCTCCTTTTCACTTAACCACTTACGATGGTTAGTTTTAGGGCATATTTCATTTAGCATACCTTATGCTTGCATGTTTGAATCCATTCATCTATATTACATGCACCGGGCTCGGCGCATCATGCTAACTGCATTGTATTTCAATTCAAATTTGAATACATGTGCCAAGTCACATCTCACATGACATTCTTGGGATAGCCGAGCCTATCTTAATTGCATTTTTGCATGTGTTGCATTAGCCATCTTAACATGAACTAGGATCATGCATGATTTCTAACTAATTCCTTGTTTTGGCTCGGAGTACACTGTGAGTGTTTACGCTTTAGCATACTGCATGTGTGTTAATGTTGCCATGAAAGCATGCTTGCCATGAGGCTATTTGCTTACGTGATAAACTGTCTGAATGCCTGTGGGTGAAGGTTGGATTACTTGAATTGGGACAATTCATTGAAATTCGCATTTTAGCCTACTTATGAGTAGCAAAACTTCAAACCATTTTCCAAACAAACGGATATGCGATGCTTGATTCCAAATTAGGCGATCTAGTCTATACTTGTTTTGCTATGCGCATCACATAGTAATTCTAGCTAATTAACCGGAATAAGAACACATGTGTTTTCAAAAACAAGATATCATGCTTAGTACAGGTCGATCTTTGATCGGGCGAGCGGAGGTGCTCATTAAATGACCTTCCCCAATCGTACCCAAGTTCCTGAGCCGACACAACTTTGGTGATGACGGACACGTGGCTTTAGACACGAGTCAGGGTTTCTTAAATTATCTCAAAGTAAAATATTTAGGTGGCGACTCTGTATCTGGGAAAGCAATCCATGTTTGACACTTCTTTATTAAAAATTAGTTTTCCAAAACGATTGCCGGATTTGGACTCTTTGGTGATTTATCAATCTCACATCGTACATTGTGAGATCAAATTAAGAACCGTGACATTTGAGTCCGAATTGTAGCATTGAAGCCCAAGGGCGCGCCTACAACGTGCAATAAAGGCAGAATGCTCGGCTTTGTTTCATTCATGTTTCCGCATGTGCAGAGCTCACAACTGCACGTGGTTCTAGGTTCATCTGTGCAATCCGAAAATTGGTCCAACTTCAAGCTCCCAAACTCATTTTCAAGCCTCAATTCATGTAAATTCACTTCAAAAACATGATATATATATATATATATACATAATCAAAGTGTAAGTCAAGCTTAATTGCATTAAACCTTGCTTAAATCCCAAAATCTTAACCCTAGCTTCCATGATTTCATGAGTTTCTTCATTTCCTTTCAAATTCAATTAGATATTCACTTTGTATGTAACTCTTTGATTTCAAATCACACAAATCTAAGGATTAAGGCCCAACTTCTCACAATCAAACTCAAGGCAAGCAAATATAAAGAAATTGACTCTTAAATCAAGCAAATCCAAAGAATCCAAGTTCAATTTCATGAGTGTAGTTCACTTAAGCTTATGATTCAAAACCCTAACTCATATGAGTGTATAATCTCCATTTTAAGTCTTGATTTTAAACAATTAAAGAGCTATGTCCAAGAGTTTTACTTGAATTATACATACCTTGCGCTAGATTCTCGAATTCTCTACAATTTTTCCAAATTTCCAAGTCTCTAGGTTTATCTCTTCACTTTCTCTTCTTGTTCTTCCTCTAGCCAAGTTTAGGGATGGCAATTTAAACCCGGCCCGACGGGGACCCGATCCCCCGACCCCGATTGGGACGGTTTTCCCCCGAAATTTATCCCCATAGGGCCGGGGATGGTATTAAAAATCTGATCCCGGCTTAGCTAGAGCCTAATTCAACATGTATATATATATATGTGTGTGTGTGTGTGTGTGTGTGTGTGTGTTTCTTAATCAAGGGTAATTAGTTTGCTTAATTAATGGTAAGTCTTAATTTGGTTCAAACTAAAGCTAATTAATTCAAGGTTTATTTAATTAAAGCTAATTAATTCATTATGAATCAAATTTTTATCAAACCCCACACTATGCACTAAAAATTAGGCTAATCACAGATATTTAATCATTTTTGGTTTCTGGCGCCTCTAAGGCCTTCAATTTTCAGTTCAAAATTGTATATTTCAATAGGTTTTTCCTACAACAGCAGCTATGAATTCAAAATTATATAATTCACACAATTAAGCATATAATTTCACACCAAACATATAATCACATATATAATTAAAGAATGAAAACATAATATGGAGTAGGGTTACCACATTCTTTCCTCCTATAGGAAGTTTGGTCCTTCAAACTTGTGTTACCTCAAGTCGAAAACAAATCCAGATATCGTTGTCTCATTTCCTCTCCTCTTTCCCACGTGGCTTTTTTCCCATAATATTCTTTCTATTCAACCTTTACCATTGGGATTATCTTGTTTCTTTACTGCACATGAGAGAGTTAATGTATTGAAGTTGTCCAAATATGTCGATGTGTTGGATAGGGCCTTAATGACTAAAAGTAATATGGCTGCTCGAAACCGATTCTTAGAATGGAAAGGAAAAAGACAGGGCTCCAACGTATAGAAAGGGTCAGCATCTTCTTAAAACAAGAAATTGAATATGGGGACCTCAAATACTTTTGGATCTACTCGCGATTCAACACCAAACTGTCCGGAATGTGGAAAGAAACACCATGGGGTTTGCTACCGAACAAGTAGGGCTTTTTTTAAATGTGGGAAAACAGGCCATATAGCAAAGAATTGCCCCAAAAATGAGCAATAAAATGTGAATAGGCCAGCTACGAGTTCAGCCGCTTCGACTCCAATAACAAAGACTACTGCAAAACCCGCCACTACTAGAGATAATGTCAGATAGGAGAGAGAGTCTTTGCCCTTGTTCTTGGTGATGTTTAGAATACAAAGGCGGTAGTCTCAGGTACACTCTCTATTAATGGCCAACCTACTCATGTGTTACTTGATTCAGGTTCCACCCATTCATTTGTGTCAAACGCTTTTGCTAGTAATTTGAATAGATCCTTGGAACCCTTAGATTATATGTTGTGTGTGTCCTTTCCATCGGGGGTTCTATGTTATGTGCTTCTATTTATCCTAATTGGGCATGTTCAATTATATGCTAATTTGATACCTCTTGATATGGATCATTTGATATAATTTTGGGGATGGATTGGTTAAGTAGATTAACAAGTTGTCTTCCGACGTCCAGGACAAAATGCATATACTTTTATGGGACATAGAATAGTTTCTCCACCCTATTTGATATCAGCTATAAAAGCGCGTAAGTTACTTCAAAAAGGTTGTCAGGGTTATTTGTGCAGTATTCTGAATGTACATGCAACAAATGCGTGTGTTGATAATATGTCTATTTTGAGTGAGTTTCTAGATGTTTTCCCGGAAGATTTTCCAGGGGATACAATCGAAACTAGAACACCATGTAATCGAACAATCTCATTTATATACACAGTGGTAAGTTTATCCGCATTATAAAGAGATTTCACAGGCAAAAAGTGAGCAGATTTAGTTAGTCTGTCCACAATTACCCATATAGAATTCATATCTCGAGGCATTTGGGGTAAACCAACAACAAAATCCATGGTTATATGCTCTCACTTCCATTCCGGAATAAGGAGAGGCTGAATTAAACCCGCCAGTCTTTTGTGCTGCGCTTTTACATCTTGACATTATAGACATTTAGACATTATAGACATTTAGAAACAAACTCTACAATCTCTCTCTTCATGTTAGGCCACCAGAAGACTTGCTTGAGATCTTGGTACATTTTTGTGTTTCCAGGATGTATTGGAAATTTAGACTTATGCACTTCCTCCATAACTCTTCTTTTAATTTTTGAAACATTTGGAACACACAATCTTTCTCTAAACTTTAACACTTGGTTTTCAAAAGTGAATCCTGGTTTCGGCTTTGCTTCTGTCTCATCACATATCTTCTTAAGAAAATCATCCTTCATTTGCCTTTGTTTAATTTCTTCAATGATTACCAGCTGTGCCGAAATTGAAGCTAACACTCCACCATGTTCATGTACTACAATTTCTACTTCCATTCTTTCTAATTCAAGTAGCAACTCTTTTCGCCCCATAAGCAAACATACTAGATTCCCCATGGACTTTCTACTAAGAGCATCTGTCATAGTGTTGGCTTTATTGGGATGGTAGTGAATCCGCAAATGATAATCTTTGATAAGTTGTAACCACCGTCTTTGATGCATGTTTAACTCCTTTTGAGTAAAGAAGTACTTTAAGCTTTTATGGTCGGTGTAGACTTCACAAGTTGCACCATATCTTTTATTGCCACCATATCTGCAATGCAAAACCCACCGCGGCAAACTCCAAGTCATGTGTAAGGTAATTCTTCTCATGAGGATCCAATTGACGAGAAGCATAAGCATTCACCTCCATTTTGCATAAGAACACACCCCAATCCTATATAAGAAGTGTCACTATAAATAACAAACCCTTCTGTACCTGACAGTAGGGCAAGGACTAGTGCTGTGGTTAACCTTGTTTTCAATTCATGGAAAGTCAACTCCCTTTGTTCTGTCCACTCAAATGGAACACCCTTCTGAGTCAATTAGGTAAGCGATACTGCAATCTTGGAAAAATCTTTCACAAATCTTCCGTAGTAACCTGCTAAACCTAAGAAACTACGCACTTCTATAACACTAGTAGGAGTGGGCCAGTTCACAATAGCTTCTATCTTTTGTAGGTCAACAGAAACACCCTCTTTATTAATTACATGCCCCAAGAATACTACTTCATGCAACCAGAATTCACATTTCTTCAATTTAGCGTACAATTTCTTGCCTATAAGGATTTGAAGAATTATTCTTAAATGCTTCTCATGTTCTTCCTTATATGGCTAAAAAATTTGGTTCATTAAATCCATGAAAATTGCTGGTGCATAAGTAACTCCGAATGGCACGACTAAGAATTTGTAATGTCTATACCTTGTTCGAAAAGCAGTCTTTTCAACATCTTCAGCCTTAACTTTCAATTGGTGATACCCAAATCTCAAATCTATTTTTGAAAATACTTGCACTCCCTGCAACTGATCAAATAAATCATCAATCAAGGGTAAAGGGTATTTATTCTTTACAATTACCTTATTAAGCTCTTGATAGTTGATAAACAATCGAAGTGTCTCATCCTTCTTCTTTACAAAAAGAACATGTGCTCCCCAAGGCGAGGTACTCGCTTTCTTATAATCTGTGTCCACCATGTGTGGTGCAAAACGGGCGAACTCATTAAATTGCACTTCATACTCGGCAATTGTTTTGTTTCTCTATCTCAGTCTTTCAAATTCTACCACTTTCCTGTCTCGAACACACTGCAGGAAATATTTTTCATAGAAGACCTCAAGAAATTGTGTCCAATTGATTCACCGATGTTCATCCCAAATAAGCATCCACCATCGACGTGCTTTGTCTTCTAAAGTAAAAGCAGCAAGTAGCACTTTCTGTGCCTCAGTAAAAGAGGAAATCTCAAACAAATTTTCTATTCCCAACACCCAAGCTTCGGCCTTGAGTGGGTCCACACCTCCATGAAACAAAGGTGGCTTCATTTTCTTAAACTCCTTTGTAAGTGCAATTGGTCAATCATCTGCTTGATTGTTTTGTACTCCTTGAGGGTTAGACATAGGTGGCGGTTGCTATTGCTATTGCTGTTGTCTCATAGCTTTTGCCATTTTCATTTTCATTCTTTCCATTCTATCGAATCGAGTGGAGATAGAATCCTCCAATTCATCCGCCCTCATTCTCACCATAATCTACATGACAATATATCATAACACACAGAAAATATTCACAAGTACATATTGACAAAGTTTCATCTTTATTTCATACTTCATATCACATTTCATATCATATTCATGTCATATAAATGCATCATGAATGCAACTTAAATCTTTTATAGACTCCTTATTGCTCAACTAGACCAGTGTGTGCGATAATAACTCTTACTCTGATACCACTCTGTTATGACCCAAACCCACCCCTAAAAGTTTGAATCATAATCGGTCGGTAATCACTCGATTACCTATGGCCTCATACAAATTACAAAATATTTTTAATCATGGGGCCTAAACGGAAGCAATTAACATAATTATGATGTGCATTGAGCAATGCCTAAATGATCAAGTTATGTCATACTTATATACATATTATGACTTACAAACACAACTTATGTACAATGAAACCTTCATTATTTAATTACAGGTTCACAAAACCATCTTAACAAACATAAACAAACAAAAGGTTTAACAAAGACCTAGCACCAACAGATCAACAAAACGCCATCAAGTAGGCTTGACAAGACAAGTTCATAAAAGCAAATCCTGGGGCTGACCCTAAGGCCGATCTCCTTGTTGTTCACCTACATACATGTAACATAAGAAGTGAACGAAGGTTAGTGAATAATAGTAAAGTGGAGAGATATAAATGAATGGCTTTGTATTTAAAGAAAGCACGTTAATGTAATACAACACTTTTCAAGTTAAAGCCTTCATGTCATTACCCATTTCACATTTACAGAACGGCCTCAGGCCCAACATAGAACAAAATGGTCTCAGGTCCACATATAACAAAATAGCCTCAGGCCCATATATAATAGAACGGTCTCGGGCTCACATATAATAGATTTCAATTCAAATTCATAAAGTTCAATCATGCCGTATTCAATACAACTTCCAAAACACATAGAAATCATAAATTCATGAATAATTAGAATTTATTTTATAATACTATTACTCACAGTGATTTTGGCCACACGATGATCCTTCTTGCAAGTAACCTACACAACATGGCACACATTCAATTTCGGTAAACAATTCGCTCACCTTTCTTTTAATTTAACCACGTATGTGTCAATGAGTTTCTATTTATCTTTTAACTTTCTGGAGGGTCTAAACATGGTCAAAAACACGTTCAGAAGGTCAAGGAGCTTAACAAAAATTGACGGATTTCTTTCCTAGTTTCTGCACGTGTGGAAGCCCCTCACCGCACATGCAAAAGGTGTTGCACGTGCAATAATAACAGAAAGCTCGACTTTGTTTCATTCTGGTTTCCACACGTGTGGAGCTCACAATTGCACGCACGATTCTGGGTTCATCTATGCAATCCGAAAATTGGTCTAACTTCAAGCTTCCAAACTCATTTTCAAGCCTTAATTCATGTAAATCCACTTCAAAAACATGATATATATATATATATATACATAATTAAAGTGTAACTCAAGCTCAATTGGATTAAACCTTGCTTAAATCCCAAAATCTTAACCCTAGCTTCCATGATTTCATGAGTTTCTTCATTTCCTTTCAAATTCAAGTAGATCTTCACTTTGTATGTAACTCTTTGAGTTCAAATCACACAAAATCTTAGGATTAAGGCCCAACTTCTCACAATCAAACTCAAGGAAAGCAAATATAAAGAAAATGACTCTTAAATCTTAGGATTAAGGCCCAACTTCTCACAATCAAACTCAAGGAAAGCAAATATAAAGAAATTGACTCTTAAATCAAGCAAATCCAAATAATCCAAGTTCAATTTCATGAATGTAGTTCACTTAAGCTTATGATTCAAAACCCTAACTCATATGAGTGTGTAATCTCCATTTTAAGTCTTGATTTTAAACAATTGAAAAGTTACTCCAAGAGTTTTAATTGAATTATACATACCTTGAGCTAGGTTCTTGAATTCTCTACAATTTTCCTAAATTTCCAAGTCTCTAGGTTGATCTCCTTCCTTTATATTGTTGTTATTCCTCTAGCCAAGTTGTTCATCTTATGAAAATATCTCCAAGGCTTAGCTAGAGCCTAATTCAACATGTATATATATATATATATATATTTCTTAATCAAGGGTAATTAGGATGCTTAATTAATGGTAAGTCTTAATTTAATTCAAACTAAAGCTAATTTATTTAAGATTTATTTAACTCAAGCTAATTAATTCCTTCAGAATTAAATTTTTACCAAACCGCACACTAGACCCTAGAAATTAGGCTGATCACAGATATTTAATCACTTTTGGTTTCTAACGCCTCTAAGGCCTTTAATTTTCAATTCAAAGTTGTAAATTTTAACAGGTTTTTTCTACAACAACAAACAAGAATTCAAAATCATATAATTCACACAATTAAGCATGCGATTTCACACCAAACATATAATCACATATATAATTAAAGAATGAAAGCATAATACGGAGTAAGGTTATCACAGATTTTGTCGAAGATTTGCTCCGATTATTTTTCACAGTGCAAATTGTGAAAGATTTTAATCGGTTTGTTTTGTTATTTAGGGCTTCCAAGTAAGTTCTCTAACAAATCTCATAATTATTAAAATTTCTGGGAATATATATATTCAATACATGGGTTTAGGGTTTACGAATGAAGGAATTTTTAGAGTTTTGAGAGTTTTGTTTGTGTAATTTTGAACTAATTTTTATGGTTTTAGTGTTTTATTTTTGGGTATTTAGGGTTTTTCTAGGCTTTAATCAAATATTGTAATTTTTTGGATTATTAAACATTATTACTTACTAGATTTGGAGTATAAAAATGTTTGTTAGATTTTATTGAATCATTATTGATTTAGGATTTTTTGTTCAATGTTTATTGATTTCGGGTTTTATTATCTGTTTGATATTGTGAAAAATATATACGAGACTTGTATTTTTTTGGATTATTGAATATTATTACTTAATATTGTGAATTATTCATTGTTTTCAATTTGTTTATCTGTTTCAATCATGCTAGCTTTGGAATTAGTTGAATTTGTTTTGCTGAAATTTATTGAATTGGTTCAATCTGTATATATGTTCAAATTAGTTCTTAATCAAATATTGTAATTTTTTGGATTATGAAACATTATTACTTATTAGATTTAGAGTATAAAGATGCTTGTTACATTTTATTGAATTATTATTGATTTAGGTTTTTTTTTTTTAATTTCGTTCAATGTTTATTGATTTAGGGTTTTATTATCTGTTTAATATTTTGAAAAATATATACGAAAATTGTAATTTTTTGGATTATTAAACATTACTTAATACTGTGAATTATTCATTGATTTCAATTTGTTTATCTGTTTCAATCATGTTGGCTTTAGAATTGGTTGAATTGGTTCAACTAAAATTTATTGAATTGGTTCAATCTGTTTATCAGTTCAAATTAAATGTTCTTTTATTACTATTTCAGTCATGGTTGCATATCCTTTATTTGATTTAGTCATCCAATACAAGGATAAAGTGGGCAGAGCATACAATGTGGATCCTGATATGTATTCTCATGTTGATCTCTTGAAGGATGTGCATGAATCTGTTCTTAGTAACATAGGTTTGATTAAGAATTTTGCTATTCATTTGTATTGTGATATACTTGCACTACAACAAAAGTAACCTATGGTGACGAAAACTAGTGAAGAAAATAAAATTCGTCACTAAATGAAAATAATTCGTGAGGAATTTATAAATTTTGTCACATATAATAAAAAAATAAAAATGGTAGGTGACAAAATTTATTTTCGTCAATAAATACTTCATTTTAAGTGAGGAAAAATTAAGTTTCGTCACCAAAAATTTTCCCGCTATTTTTTCCCGATGGCGCCAAAATTTTGGAACTTTTGGTGAGAAAATTTTTTGTCACTAATTATAAAATTATTTGTAAGGAATATATTTTCATCACCAAAACGTTTTAATATTTTTGATATCTTTTGGTGAGGAAATAATATTGTCACCAATTTTGGTGGGAAATTTTTGATATATTGAGCGGCAATAAAAAAAAAAGGATATTAATTTTTTTTACCCCTTTTCTGTTTATCATCTCTCTCTCTCAAAGTAGGGTATTAATTTGTCTTATCTCTTACTCCTCCACCACGCTGATCGCCATCGTCGTCTCTATTAGCCTTGCCGATCATCGCCGCAATCCAAAATTTATTTTGATGATTTATTTAATTATATTTTAATTTATTTGAAAAATAAAAATAGAATCCAAAATTTCTTTTGATGATTTATTTAATTATGTTATAATAGAATCCAAAATTTATTTTGATGATTTATTTTTAATTATGTTTTAATTTATTTGAAAGAGAAAAATATAATCAAATTTATTTTGTCCCATTATTTCTCACCTAAAATTTTATTCTAAATATTGTTTGAATATATTTAATATTTTCTTAAATCAGGAGTTCATTTCAACCCAAAAATAATGCCCAAACCAGAGGTTCAAACA